AAGTCCAATGCTGGTAGATAAACAACTTGGCTTTTGACGAAGACTCACCACACAGACATGTCAAATCCTGAGGTTCCAAGTCGGAAGCGGAGGTCTGGCGATCTGGGGGAAGTTGTTTCCATTGGGATCCATTCGGGACAAAGTTTGACAAAGTTGAGAAGTATTCATGAGGAGACGTTGGGGCGGTAGTAGGTCGGATTGACTTGCTTTATCGTGCTTTGCTATGTGATGAGATGTTGGGTCCTTACAACTTGTCACTGCGCAAACTTTTTTCCCCGGCGAAATACAGTTCAAATCTACATTTTTTCGATGTTAGTGTATCCACCTTGATGATTTTTCTTAGAATTCCCTACATAATTCGTCCTGCTGCGGCAAATGTCCTTCCTCTCACTGGATGACCTCCAAGCATCCCTCAGATTTCGATATCAGATTGCAAAACAACCCTATGCAGGGAACGTATTTTCCACGCCTTTGTGGAACAGAAACAACTTGAGTTGAATCTGTGGTATCTCTTGTCGCTTAATTTGTGTTGTCCAAGATGTCGTGCTTTGCTTTCCAGGCAGATGAAATTGAAATCGAAAATTGTGAAGATCTCAGACTTGAGGATTCCATGATATGTTTCCTCACATGTTCAGGCTTGAGGATCCATGCTCAATGACATGTGACATTGGGCTTTGAAAGATGCGTGTATCAAATGCGTTAAATATGCTTTTGCACTCTGGGTGCTGCTAGTGCATGACAATCATTTGTTGATATTTGTTAGTAGTCAAATGAACCAAGTTCAGGAACGCAAAAGCCGCAGAATCTAGAATATCTAGAATCTATACTATTCTGACATTATGATACATTATGGCTGATCCACTGGTATAAATTAAGAATAAACCTTGGACTGCCAGACATCCAGAGTTTCGGCTTTGAGGCGGAGACATCCTGCAGGCTGCGAAAGAAGGCAACGTCGGAGCTGTCCGACGCTTGCTGCAGGTGGACCCCCAGAGCCTGGAGCAAGTCGACGGAGGAGGCGGAAACCTGAGAAGGGATAGGCTTGAAGGTTGAGGAGGTTGTTATAGGTGCGCAGCTTTGACTTCCCAATCCAGTTGAGACTGATTTTTGGTTTTGAGAGATGTTGCTGATATGTGTTTCAGTCGGAACATGATCGACCTGTGAAATTGCGCGTGGTGTCGCCATCATCAGCGGAGCCCTTTGGCTGAGGCGACGGGCCCCTGGCGAATGCGGCTCGGAAAGGCCACCTGGAGGTGGTCCAGGTGCTGCTCGCCGCCAGCGCCTCCGTCGAGGCGAAGAACAGACACGGCTGCGGCCCTCAGAGACGGGACGGATGCGACAGGAGGACGGATGTTGTGAGACAGGCGAAGTGTGGAAGAGATGCGACACGCCATTGAGTTTGCTGCCAGTTTTGGGAGCCAGGAATCTTCAGCGTACTTTACGCGATTCCATGTTGAGAAGTCAACTACCAGTATACACCATGTTGCGGGATGTTGCGGGTATGTCACACTTGACAATATTATTCGGAGTGGTTCGGGATGAAATTCGATGGTGTTTGCAGTGTGTTATTGTTTCAGGATTAGATTGTAGTGTGTTATTGTGAATCTTTGATCTGGTTTGCAGTGTGTGGCACTGCAGAGGTGTGACTTCCCGATCACTTGATCTTGATTTTGATGGGCAGTGATACATGTCTCATTTAGAAATGGTGGACCAAACATGACCAAACTCCCAAGTTTTTCAGACCCGAAATCCTCCGAAATCCTCCGAAGCAACTCATGTGACTTGGCGCCATCTCCAGCGGCGCCCTCCGGACCGAGGCAGCGGGCCGCTGGCCTGGGCGGCTGAGGGCGGCCACCTGGAGGTGGTCCAGGCGCTGCTCGCTGCGGGCGCTTCCGTCGAGGCGAAGAACGACTTCGGTCGTGGCCCTCAGAGACGGGACCGAGATGACAGGACGGACGTGGTGGGAAGGCGGTGCCATGGATTTCAGGATGAAATTCGATGGTGTTTGCCACCTTAGCTGGAGATGAACCTCCAGCAGGTGAGAGCCACAGGGTGGATTCTTTGAAGGAAGTTGTCCCTGCTGGGATGCACAGCTTCGGAGAGGTGATCTTGCACATGTGCAACCTTGATCAACCCTTTGTGGGTGTAAAAGAGCCTGATACACAAGGTTTCATGATGTTTTATGAGGCATACAATCAGTTCGGTTTCGCTTTTCCGGGTTTCAGCTTTGGAAGGTATGATCAGGTCGTAGTCGTAGTCCTGTTGATCTTCACAAACACCAGCAACGATAGTGGCTGCCATTGAGCCAGCTTGCCACACAATTTTGAAAAGGATGAAACTCCATGTTGAGAAGTCAACTACCAGTAGACAGCAGTTGCAAATGTGTGTTGCGGGTATGTCACACAGTGGTTCCGGTGATTGAGTCAAGTTTAGGGGACATTTTGGGGGTCTAGGATTATTAATTATGGCAGATAGATGCAAAAGAGGGCTTGAGAATACTTGAGTTATGTTGAGATAAGTTTTGTTAGGCGTAAGAAAGCAGTTTTCCATGGTTCTCCCTTTTTCGGATTTTCTGTTGTGGAAGGTTCCATCAGTTCGTAGTCTTGGTGATCTTAATAAACACCAGCAGCGATAGTGGCTGCCATTGAACCTAGTGGCTGCCATTGAACCAGCTCGCTATACAATTTAAAAGAAGATGAAACTCACGGACTTCACTCCATAGATTCCAGCCTCTCCCAGTAAAGTGTGGGGGTGGGCGGTGGAGAGCCACGGGGTGGAGCCCTCCAGCCGTTGACGTCTCCGAGCCCTTCGGCGCCTGAGGCGACACACCGCTGAGGTACGCGGCTTTCAACGGCCACACCGCGGTGGTGGAGCGGCTCCTCGCCGCGGGCGCCGCTGTGGATGCTGTGGACAATGAAGGCCAGGGGCCCCGGAAACGGCCAGTGGGGACGACAGGGGCTGGGGTGCAGGGATGATCTGATGCAGAGTGAGTGAAAGAACAACTCGGTGACAAGTTGCTTGATGATTTTGAATGCGTCATGCGCACACGGCTGTGGCAGGATAGGTGGTAGTTAGGTGAGATAGGTTTTTTTTGAATCTTCTCAAACACCATGGTGGGATTGTTGGCAAGTGACAATACATGAGGTGACAAAGCGACAGAACACAGTGGCATCCACTGGCATCTTTGGGACGCCCCATCACTGCAGGGATAACATAATATAACACGAATTGTCCACACGCCATGTCCACCTTTGACAAAACATTCCCTGCATGACGATGGTAAGACATCGATGTGAAACACAACAAGACATCATAAAACATCTTGAGAGAGAAGAACTCTTGCACATTTGCTACTCGTATGGGCCTACTGATGGGTGTGAAGAGCGCTTGAAAATGCTTGAGATATGTTGAGATAAGTTAGTCGTAAGAAAACGGTTTTCCCTTTTTCGGATTTTCTGTTGTGGACGGTTCCATCAGTTCGTAGTCTTGGCGATCTTCACAAACAAAAGCAAAGATAGAGGCTGCCATTGAACCAGCTCGCTATACAATTTAAAAAAAGATGAAACTCACGGACTTCACTCCACAGATTGCAGTTTCTTCCACTGCAGTGGGGGTGGGCGGTGGAGAGCCACGGGGTGGAGCCAGCCGTTGACGTCTCCGAGCCCTTCGGCGCCTGAGGTGCGACACCACTGCACTGGGCGGCTCTCTACGGCCAAGCCGCCGCTGTGGAGCAGCTCCTCGCCGCGGGCGCCGCCGTGGATGCTGTGGCCAAAGGAGGCCAGGGGCCCCGGAAACGGCCGGTGGGGACCACAGGGGGTGGAGTGGAGGGATGATCTGATGCAGAGTGAGTGAAAGAACAACTCGGTGACAAGTTGTTTGGTGATTTTGAATGCATCATGTGCACAGAGCTGTGGCAGGACAAAACTGATAGGTGGTATTTGCTGTAGGTGGGATTAGGATTTTGTGAATCTTCTAAAGTACATGCACTGCACCAGCGAAGCCAGAGACATGAACGTATTCTGGGTTTGTTTCAGGCTGTGGGAATTGTTTTTTTTTGGCGCTGTCATGGTGGGATGTTTGGCAAGTGTCAACATGGGGTGACAAACCGACACAAACCACAGAAGACAGTGGCATCCACTGGCACAGTAAGAACTAATTAAGAATCTTGGAAACAGCGATTAGGATACCAACAATAAGGTTATATATAGTGGGTGATATGTAGGAAATGTGCTAGTATAGGTCTTCCAGACATCAACGTAAAGCATCCGTAAAACAACTTGAAAAGCAATGACACTAAATGAATCTAAATGATACTATCTGGATTTTGGGACCACACTCAGTCCCACATCCGTCTACTCCGGGCCTTGGCACTTCCATCTGCGTAGAGCAAGGCGAGACGCCGTACGACATCGCCAAGATGAGGGGCCACCGGAAGGTGATGGGTGTGCTGGACCCGGTCCCTTGGCGCTGGGATGAACATCCCTTGGTGCACCAAAGCTTCGGCACACGTGGGCTATAGGAACCTATGAAGAAATGAGGGTTTTTCTTATTGGGTCGTTGCAATCCTGATGTTGTGAAGGTATCATGCGCTCAAGTCTACTCCGATGAGTTGCCATTCTTTTGATCAGGTATTTGTGGCCCTTCTCAGTGGCCGGAGCTGCAGATGTGCCTCGGCTGCTCCGAAAGCAGCGGAAGCCTTGCGAAACACAAACAACTTTGATGCCGATACTACAGCAGTAACTACCATAATTGTAAAACAAAAATGCAATGATGCATGATGTGAGATGATACCAGTAGATTTGATTCAAGTGACTCTACACTTCGTATACTTGACATGGATTGCGAGGAGATGGGTTTGTTTTGAGCTGGCGAGAAAGACTGTGATCCGCAGCCATGTTGTAGAATTTCGTCCCAAACCTATCGCGGTATAAGATAAAGATTATGTAGCCATGCTGTCTATAACTTGGTTTTGGACACCCGTACCAGTGGAAAACACCGAGGCAACTCTGCGCATGAAACTGTACAAGACTTGAAGGAAGAAGCGGAGCGGCTTGGCATCCTTACAGTGTAAGCTTCGTTGGGCCAGTTTTGGCGTGCTCAGGTTTTCCTTGTTGACAGCCTTCCTGTAGTCAACACGTGTGAAAACTTGTGAAATGTGTGGAAAGATCTGGGTTCCTTGTGGTTGATTTGTTTTCTTTTCCTAATTTCCTTCCGTAAGAGCCTTGCCATTGCATTTCTATTTATAACTATGAAGTAGAAACAGAAATATGGTGGGTTCTGAGTGAAGTGATTGATCGATATTAGTACTTGAAGGCCAATCACAGCAACCTCTTTTGTGCACTGTGCTTGCTGCTTGAAGACTTCCTTCATTAATGTTGCCTGAGAATTCTCCAACTAATTCTGGCAAGAAATGTGAAGAAAGACATCGCGGCAATACCATGCAAGAATAGTTCTGCGACCATGAGTTGTAGCAAGGATGTTCAAAATGGATGCAACCAACACTTGTTGGCCCTGGCAAAGAGAGGCAGAGCATCCCCCAGCCACTCATGTAAGACGCTTTTTGTTTCAATCATTTCATTAACTGCCCTGTTAGATGGATTCGCTACCCTGCTACATATTCCTGATGACATCTTATAAATTTTCCAATTTTCCTTTGCACCTAGCGATGCTTTCAACAGAAGCTGTGCTGCAGGTGCCACATCTGTTGATTGCGGATCCGAGGCGCAAGTTGGGAACGACCATCGAGCATCTCATTGGCCCCGACATGCAGCCGCTGCTGCTTGGCACAGTTGATGCGGTATGGACGCTGCTGCTGGGTATTCTCCAACTGATTTAGAGCTCATGAGTTGGTTCACTGCTAGAACTCATTATTTCTTGGGGTTCCCTTTAGTGTTGCAGAATGCAGCCTGGAAAAAGGGCATGGTGTTTCGGTGAACATAGACTATCTAGACTTTGGCATTGTGGTGAAACTGTGCCTCGTGGACGTGATTTTACATCTTGAAGAAGTGTAAGTACTGACCCAATAGCCGACTCAGCCACGAATACAAAGATGATAAACAACATATCGAATTGTTAGAAGTCTCTTGAGAATGTAGCCACCTCTATAGCCTTCTGGAGACACCGTAAGTTTTCTCCTTGAACCTCAATCACAAATCGATCAAATTGATTTCTCTTGGAGCGCATGGAGGGAGTGCATCAACTGCATCAGCGTTGATTTGACAAGTCACTGTGGTCTCCCCAAATGGGCCGGAGCTTGGTCCAGGAATGGAGCGATGACTCTGCAAGAAGCCAACATTCTGCCTGGAAATACCCTGACGGCCGTCCTAGTGACTCTGATAGAAAGAGCATTGGACACAAGACTTCCGACAAATCGAAGTACGCATTTATATTATATGTCAATTTTGAAAGCCACACATATTCATACATACTCATTCAATCTCAATCAGCAACACAGAATCTCAGAAAACCATATCATCGCTTTGTTATAGATGTGTCCTGTTTTGCGCGTTTGTATCGTTTATTGGAGCAACATTGGTTTTGATACTGAAGTGTTTGGCAGAAAATTGCATATGTGTGCAGAGACATCCGTTTAGACATGCGGCATCGTGCGGCACCATGTGTAGGAAGTGACTTTTTACGACAGGATTTCTCATGCCAGGCGGCTAGGCAGTCCGTTGATTTCGTTGTCGCCAGGACCCTGTGGTGCTGAAGGACTTTGGCCATGGGATTTCGATGAAGACGGCGCAATCCGTTTTCGATGAGTACGGGCCCAGGATGGAAGTGCTTGCAGACTGGAAGGATCTGAAGGATCCATCCTCCTTGGAGGAAGTGTCTCGTCCGCAAACCAGCCAGCCGATGCTTGGGCGGTGAAGGATAATATGTATTAATACTGAAGGTTTGATATCATTTTGGGTGTCATTGACTTCGAGCCATGATATGCAGTACCAAAATACCAGCTGTTTTGTGGCGGAAAGCATGTACTTTTGTTCACAGGGTCTCTGCGTTGTGGGGGTCTGCCAAGCTGTGACACCTGAATCATAGTATTGATTTTGAATGATTTTGCTACGCCCGATCTATATTTAGTACAGGACAGGAAATACAACGCATTGAATTGCATGACATCCCATTGTACAACGTACATTTATGATCAATTATGTACATTTAATGTACTATAGATACAGTTATCTCATACACATACCCTTCCCAAGACCAAGACAGAAAAATTCCCACAAAAGATTCCTCGTTGATAGGGTGGATACATGCAATATAAATAAATAAATAAACTAAACATAAATATACTAAATAAACAAATAAATAAATGAATTCAATAAATAAATAAATAAATTAATTAAATAAATAAATAAATGTATAATATGTGTCAGTGTGTGTATATATATACACGTAGTTGATGATCCAGATTGGACCCAGAAATTCCTTGCCCCAGCTGTGTATTGAGATACCCGTACTCTCCTGAGCAAGTTTCTGAGGCAAAACACCTTTTGTGTTGAAACATTTTCATGAGATGACTGAAGGGTTCATGTCAGCAGGAGACGTGGATCATACCATGGCTCCATGACTCCGGAATCTGCATTGCAGTTTGTTTGTTGCACAAACACGTTTTACACCCTGTTATCATCAATATGGTCACTATGATCGTGCTTGTAGGCGCGTCGGTTTTGATTTGTAGCTTTTGCAACTTCAGGTGCTCCATCCCGGACACGCGGCACTGAGCCAACTGGTGCGTCTCAGTCCGGAAGATGTCACGTTTCCAAAGCCAGTGGAGGCAGGGGGGCAAAGGCGTTCAAAGGCTACCCTATTGATCCATTTCGCCTGTGCCCAAAGAAGTTTCGTACCAGGAAATGGAACCGATGGATGCCATGCGCAGGCAACTGAAGTAATTACGTAGTTGACATTCAATCCGGACAGGGAGCTTAAACGATTCAAAGGGGGCTCCTTTCCTATGGCCTTGGAAAGACTCCCCCAATGCAAACACAGTTCTTCCAGATCCTTGGGAGAAGGGATACAAAAGGCAAAGGAAAGGGAAAGCACCGCTTCTCCGATCTGTTGTCATGCACGCTACAGCCACACGTAAATAGACGTTCAAGATTTTGTTTTGTGAAACACGTGCAAGATCCATGAATGCTCCAACCTCAAAATATGGGTCTTGACGCGTAATACCAATACCATGACGATTCGGGTTCTTTGACAACGTAAAACTTTCGGAACCTCCGTCAGGTTGAGATGCCAACATGTGTTGGTGCGAAATCTGTTTGGAGATCATCAGCCACAGGCAGGGTGGCCAGTTGCGGTTCAGGTTGAACTGGGCTACTGATTTCGGTGGTTCCTAAGTGGGGTACCTATTGATTCAGGGGTGGTAGCTCATACTTTTTGACCATGCAAGTAATTAATTATTGTTGAAACTCGTTACCAGCAGTTGTTTTCAGGTTGGCCTGATCCAAGACTTTGACAGACAAACATGTGAATTGATAAGGAACCTGAACCGTGGTTCGGTTTCCAATTCTTCATGCCGGTTCGGTTTTGCACGGTGTGGTTTTACGTTTGGCCTCACCCGATTGTTGCTTCTCGGTTCGGTTTCCCGGCCGCAGGCTGGGAACGACTACTGGGTGCGAAATTCAGCGATGGCCGAGTGGTTGTTGCGCTGAGCCACTTTTGTGATGTTGTGGCCACGGGGCCATGTGGCCTGAAAGCTGTGGGATTCATCGATCCACACGGTGCAAACGCGAAAGTCGCATTGCTACACGTGGCGTGCGAGTCATGTCAGAACAGCTTGGAGCAGCTGTGCTCCGATGCTGACATGTTGGGATCCTTCAAGAAATGCGGCCCCAGCGTACCGCTGGGAACATACCGCCACGACGAAGACCTGGAGCTGCGTCAAGGGCAAGAAGCGATGAACATGAGAGTCAGGTTCCACCGAATGCCGCAGATTTCCCGGAAACTTGTGGCTCACTCTGCAAGCCACTTCAGTGTCGAAATTGAAGGGGATGACCATCAGTTCGAAGAACTTCGGTCAGAGGCAGCCACGAGTGCAACAGCTTCAAACCCAACAGCATCGGATCCCCCGTCGGCTCCAGCGACCTCACAGGCGCAGTGGAGTGGGGTTGCGTGGAAACATCAAACATCGAACCCCCAAAGTCATCTCACTGCCTTTTCCAGGTGCATCCGCAGGTGCATCCACACGTGCTTTATATTTGGGTATGTTTGCACATTCACGCGAGAACCCCAACATTTGGGTAATAATTGTTAGTTAAAAACATTAGTTTCCCCATGCATGAAACACGGTCATGGTCGACACAAACCATCCTTTTCCAACATGTTCCCCACTCAAAATGGCCATAATTATGGGACAACGGGACAACTCCAAAATTTGATGGTAACACCGAATTTTCACCCTATTGTCTAAGGTTTTCCACGGCTTTCCTAACTTTCCCCAAATTTCCCCATTCAAAAGTTGCCATTCGCTCCACGGGGCCTGGGCAGGCGATGCCCGCAGCCGCGATGACCTCAGACGTGTCGATGGCGACTCGGCACGGTGATCCAACGGTGGCTGCAACGTCAACTGTGGCGGCCGAAGACTTGGAGATTTTGGGATTGAAATTGTCGAATTCTTCAAATGGATAATATTTGATAATTTTTTAGAATATTCATCAGAATCTATAGTTAGATTTGATAGAAGTTAAAAATAATTGATGGGGTGCGAACAATAAGTTAAGAAAAGTGGAAGATTGAAACAGAAGAGCCGAATGGGAATTTACAGTGGGACCTTGCCTTCTGCCGGGTAAATCAGATGGTCGGCACTGCATATTATTGGTTTTATATGGTTTTATGATGTTTTATGAGCATTTTGGATGAGATCCAGAATCGCAACACACACACACACATTTTCATAGAACAAGAATGCTTGTCCTTCAAAAATTTCAGAAATCGGAAACCGACGAGATCCATGATTGGATCCAGCTCCTGTGACAGACCGCTCAGGCACAGGAGCGGCCAGAGAGAGGTCACCTGTTACTGAGCGGCCGCTTCAACAGTGATACGATTCTTGTCGAAGGTTGGGGAAGAAAAAATGTCACTTGAACATAGTTGAATCATGTTGTTGAAGTTTGATCCTGCATCTGTGAACCGTGTTTAATCTTTTCTTAAGTTTCATTCTGGATGCTCGGCGGACTGTCGGCCACTGAGGGTCATCGACTACATGAAAGCGGTGAAGAGGCGCTTGGAAGAGAGACGAATACCTGTATATATGGTGCAAGCTCAGGTCGGCCAAAGTTTTGCTGAGCTGACGCGGATAGGATTGGCCCATGCCAAAGGCATGGTGGCCTTCTGCACGTCGGACTACGGCGCCTATACAGGTGCTGGTTACGAAACCTTCCATGAATTGGAATATGCACACGACAACAAGTTGCAAATCTTTCCCATTAGGCTCTGCAAAGAGTGGCCACCAGCGCCGCAAGACAATCCAAGAGGATCAAGATGCACTTTTCAAAATCGCCTGGTGTTCAAGAACGGCCTAGTGTATGTAGATGATCGGCAGATGAACAATGCCGAAGGCGCTGCTGATCAGATTGCGGATTCTGTGACTAGCCCTGGCGGCATCTTTTCAAATTAGGCGAAGGCCAACAGATTGCGAAGATGTGGCGGAAATGAAAACTGGCAACTGCCGCATTCCGGCTTCCCATGGTGCGCTCTGCTCCCGCTTGATTAAATTTGGATGAATTTGAGGAAGCAACAAGCAACAAGTAGTTCCCCGACCCAAAACGATCACAAGAATGTATCTGAGAAGCGAGTCATCCCAATTCGCCCCCAAAAAGGCAACGGCGCCGTGTTCGGCATGGAAGGTCGGTTGAACTGGAACTGATTATATTTTTAACCTAGCATGCACGCAGGGCTTAAAATCTGGATGGAACTATAACCTCTGATTCGGAAGCGTTCCCAGATTGTTGCATGGTGTTACTCTTTCGGATGTTAGGTTGAGGCATAGTGTGACAGTAGGTGCCCCTTGCAACATGCAAATTGATAATGAAAAAAACACACATATTTTGAGGTAATTCATTTGCACATTGTAGCAAAGCTTGGAATTCCGAAGTTCTCGGCTCAGCTAGCTAGCACCTCATCACCAGCAGTTCGTTGATGTTGAGGGTTGAAGAGACACGCACCAGGACCAAGGCAGCTCTGACCATTTCAACATGAATCAATGCTGGCAAAATATCAACATCATCCCACACCTGGATTGCAAACCAACCTCGTTGCCTGCAGGATCAGAAATTTGGCCTCACAGCAACACCAGCCTGCTTAGCTTGGAAATTCATGGATTGCCAGACCTCCAGAGTTTGAAAAGGTGATCTCGCAACCAGATCGTTTCCTGAAGTTTTGGCCGCAATTTCAGAGAGTTTCACAACCCTTTTGGAAATTCCCTTGGGGAATTCCCATCAGCGACATGGCCGAAAACAGCGATGGTCGCGATACCTCGGCAGGGCGTCCCAGATCTGAGACGTGGAATTTCGGAATCCACCAAAGCGGTTGGAAGTTGATATGGTGAAAAGCAACAAAGATGTTGGGCTCTTTAGCTTATGCTATAGTCTATGAACACGACAGTTTGCCAGCTTTGGGAGTGACCAAGTGACCAATGTCAAGGCAGACCACGCAAACGTCAGAGCAATTTTCCAGCAGTGGGATCCTACGGGACTCTCAGCTGCAAAGTTGCTTGTGCAGCTGGGCTGCGATGAACTCGGCAGTTTAGGGAGATCGTATAGATGGTCTCCTTTTGCTCAGGACATGCCACGCTCCAGAAGGAAGAGCTGCTGTCTATTCTTTCGGACATTGGAATCACTGATCGAGAGCTGCCTGGTCTGCAGAGTTTACCCGTTTCGGCATTCCAAACAGCCACTCTTCCACAAGGCAGAAATGTACCCTGTTGTCACCCCTCTGCAACGTGTGTTTCATTCATCGGCCAAGGCTGGCAGCAATGCTTAAAACTACAGATGCTTGGTTTGATAATGGACGGCTTAAGGCGTTCGATTCATACTGTTGTGGTCCAGGTTCAGGTCCAGACTAGTTTTTGATTTCAAGCTCTGTTGACACCAACCATTTTGACCGCACGATTTACTGCATGTTTTTTGTGAAACACATTGACGACCTGGCCAGAAAATTGATCACTGGACTAACACGTTCAATTTGAGGATGCCTGTCGAGATCAAAACATCCACTATTCAGACTTTCTACGGTGGGTTTTCGCACCAGCATCAAGTCCTGAGAGTGGTCATCAAGCTGGGGTCTCATCGCATCTTGACAAAATTTAAGCACACTTCTGGCATGGAACTCATATGTAAAGCATGACACAGGATATCTGGACGATTTGGCTCTGTACTATTTTTCTTATCCTTTTGGGCTGCGATGATCCCAGCTGACTCATTTTTGTTGCCGAGTTTGGCCCGCAGGCAAAGGACAGAGGCCAATGCATCAGTGCCAGATGGCTTTGGCCCCTTGGCCCAGTTCTGGCAACATGCTGGAGGGAGGTCAAGATGACTCGATGCCTTGAAAACCAGAGACCACTCCCTGCCTTACAGTTGATTGGGAAATCTGAAGAAACCAACATGGGAAGGTAATGTGGCAGACTCAATGCAACTCCAAAGGAATTTGGATGCGCTCCACTCACTGGGGCTGTCACGCGAAAGCGGGACCGCATCAGAATTGACAGGGACTTTATGATATGCTGGTAGATGAAAACATTGGCCTTTTGGCAGGGATTTACCACGGAAACATGTTGAATGCTGAGGTTGTGAGGTGGAACCAGAGGACTGGCAATCTGAGGGTCGTTGGTGTGGGTTGGAGACTAGTCCCAAAAGTGGTTAGGAGGACATGTTGGTGCAGTTACTGTAATTTATTTCACTTCATTTCCGCTTGCTCTGCCATTTGCTGAGATGTCGAGGTCATTACAACTCGTCAGAAGTTGTTTCCACTGTGATCCACAGGGGACAAAGTTTGACAAAGTTGAGAAGTATTGATGAGGAGATGTTGGCGCAGTAGTAGGTTGTATTGATTTGCTTTATCCTGCAATTCTATTTGATGAGATGCTGGGCTCCTTGCAGCTTGTCACTGCGTAAACTTTTTTCCCCGCCGAAATACAGTTCAAATTTACATTTTTTCGATGTTAGTGTATCCACCTTGATGATTTTCTTAGAATTCCCTACGTAATTCGTCCTGCTGCGGCAAATGTCCTTCCTCTCACTGGATGACCTCCAAGCATCCCTCAGATTTCGGTATCCGATTGCAAAACAACCCTATGCAGGAAACGTATTTTCCACGCCTTTGTGGAACAGAAAAATCTTGAGTTGAATCTGTGGTAATTATATCTTTTCGCTTAATTTTTGTTATCCAAGATGTCGTGCTTTGCTTTCCAGGCAGATGAAACTGAAATCGAAAATTGCGAAGATCTCAGAGTTGAGGATGAGGATTCCGAGATATGTTTCCTCACATGTTCAGGCTTGAGGATCCATGCTCAATGACATGTGACATTGGGCTTTGAAAGATGCGTTTATTAAATGCGTTTAAATTTGCTTTTGCACTCTGGGTGCTGCCAGTGCATGACAATCATTTTTTTTGTTAATATTTGTTAGTAGTCGAATGAACCAAGTTCAGGAACGCAACATCTAGAATCTATACTATTATGACATTATGACATTATGACTGATCCACTGAATAAACCTTGGACTGCCAGTTCGGTCGTTTGGAGGCGGAGACATCCTGCAGGCTGCGAAAGAAGGCAACGTCGGAGCTGTCCGACGCTTGCTGCAGGTGGACCCCCAGAGCGTGGAGCAAGTCGACGAAGATGGCGGACTCCTGAGAAGGGATAGGCTTGAAGGTTGAGGAGGTTGTTATAGGTTCGCAGCTGTGACTTCCCAATCCAGTTGAGACTGTTTTTTGGTTGAGACTGATTTGAGACATGTTGCTGATACCAGTATGTGTTTCAGTCGGAAGCCAAACTCCCAATTTTTCAGACCCGAAATCCTCCGAAATCCTCCGAAGCAACTCATGTGATTTGGCGCGTCCCGTCGCCTCTCCAGCGACGCCCTCTGGACCGAGGCAGAGGGCTGCTGCGCTTTGCGGCTGCCAACGGCCAGGTGGACCCGTGGTTCGAGGCGATGCTGGCTGCGGGCGCCCCCGTCGAGGCGAAGAATGACGACGGCAGCGGCCCTCAGAGACGGGACGGATGCGACAGGACGGACGTGGTGGGAAGGCGGTGCAACAGGTGAAATGTGACACAGATGCGACATGACATTGAGTTTGCTGCCAGTTTTAAGGAATCTTCAGTGTACTTTACGTGATTCCATGTTGAGAAGTCAACTACCAGGAGGCAGAAGTTGCAAGTTTGTGTTGCGGGTATGTCACACAGTGGTTCGTGTGGTTGAGTCAAGTTTAGGGGACATTTTGCGGGTCTAGTATTATTAATTATGGAAGCTGGATGTAAATGAATTCCAATGATTTTCTTGCTGAGATTGTAGTGTGTTATTGTGAATCTTTGATCTGGTTTGCAGTGTATGGCACGGCAGAGGTGTGACTTCCCAATCAGTTGATCCTGATTTCGATAGGCAGTGATACATTCTCAATTAGAAATGGTGGACCAAACATGACCAAACTCCTAATTTTTCAGACCCGAAATCCTCCGAAATCCCCCGAAGCAACTCATGCGACTTGGCGCGTCCCGTCGCCATCTCCAGCGGCGCCCTCCGGACCGAGGCAACGGGCCGCTGGCGATTGCGGCCTGGAAAGGCCACCTGGAGATGGTCCAGGTGCTGCTGGCCGCGGGCGCCTCCGTCGAGGCGAAGAATGACAACGGCTGCGGCCCCCAGAGACGGGATGGATGCGACAGGACGGACGTGGGGGAAGGCGGTGCCACGGATTTCAGGGAGATGAACCTCCAGCAGGTGAGAGCCACAGGGTGGACAATTTGAAGGAAATCAGGCACATGAAGTCATGAAGTTGTCCCTGCTGGGATGCACAGCTTCGGAGAGGTGATTTTGCACATGTGCAACCTTGATCAACCCTTTATGGGTCTAAATCTAAAATGGTCTAAAAGAGCATGATACATAAGGTTTTATGATGTTTTATCAGGCATACTGTACAGTCGGTTCGGTTTCGCTGTTCGGATTTCCGCTTTGGAAGGTCTGATCAGGAGGTAGTCCTAGTCTTGGTGATCTTCACAAACACCAGCAACGATAGTGGCTGCCATTGAGCAAGCTTGCCACACAATTTTGACAACGATGAAACTCCATGTTGAGAAGTCAACTACCAGTAGACGGCAGTTGCAAGTTTGTGTTGCGGGTATGTCACACAGTGCTTCGGGTGGTTGAGTCAAGTTTAGGGATTTTGCGGGTCTAGTATAATTATAGCCGACAGATGCAAAGGAGGGCTTGAGAATGCTTGAGATATGTTGAGATAAGTTTTGTTATAGGCGTAAGATAACTGTTTTCCCTTTTTCGGATTTTCTGTTGTGGAAGGTTCCATCAGTTAGTAGTCTTGGTGATCTTCACAAACACCAGCAACGATAGTGGCTGCATGTGGCTGCCATTGAAGCAGCTCGCTATACAACTTTGAAAGAGATCACTCTACAGATTGCAGTTTCTCCCACTGCAGTGGGGGTGGGCGGTGGAGAGCCACGGGGTGGAGCCCTCCAGCCGTTGACGTCTCCGAGCCCTTCGGCGCCTGAGGTTGGACACCGCTGCACTACGCGGTTCAGTTCGGCCACACCGCCGTGGTGGAGCAGCTCCTCGCCGAGGGCGCCGCCGTGGATGCTGCAAGCAGCGATGGCCGGGGTCCCTGGAAACGGCCGGTGGGGACGACGGGGGGTGGAGTGCAGGGATGATCTGATGCAGAGTGAGTGAAAGAACAACTCGGTGACAAGTTGCTTGATGATTTTGAATGCGTCATGCGCACACGGCTGTGGCAGGATAGGTGGTAGTTAGGTGAGATAGGTTTTTTTTGAATCTTCTCAAACACCATGGTGGGATTGTTGGCAAGTGACAATACATGAGGTGACAAAGCGACAGAGCACAGTGGCATCCACCGGCATGTTATCACTGCAGCGATATAACACGAATTGCCCACACGCAATGTCGACCTTTGACAAAACATTCTCTGCATGACGATGGTAAGACATCGATGTGAAACACCACAAGACATCATAAATCATGAGACATCTGAAGAGACAAGAACTCTTGCACATTTGCTACGTGTATGGGCGTACTGTGGGTGTGAAAGAGAGCTTGAGAATGCTCGAGATATGTTGAGATAAAGCTTAATTGTTAAGCATAAAACGGTTTTCCCTTTTCGGATTTTCTGTTTTGGAAGGTTCCATCAGTTGTTAGTCTTGGTGATCTTCACAAACACCAGCAACGATAGTGGCTGCCATTGAGCCAGCTCGCTATACGATTTTGAAAAAGATGAAGCTCACGGACTTCACTCCGCAGATTGCAGTTTCTCCCACTGCAGTGGGGGTGGGCGGTGGAGAGCCACGGGGTGGAGACCTCCAGCCGTTGACGTCTCCGAGCCCTTCGGCGCCTGAGGTCGGACACCGCTGCACAGGGCGGCTGACCGTGGCCACACCGCCGCGGTGGAGCAGCTCCTCGCCGCGGGCGCCGCCGTGGATGCTGCCGAAAGCAGCGGCCAGGGGCCCCAGAAACGGCCGGTGGGGACGGGTGGAGTGGAGGGATGATCTGATGCAGAGTGAGTGAAAGAACAAACTCGGTGGCAAGTTGTTTGATGACTTTCAATGCGCCATGGGCACAGAGCTGTGGCAGGACAAGACTAATAGGTGGTATTTGCTGTAGGTGGGATTGGGATTTTGTGAATTTTCTCAAATGCCATAGTGAGATATTTGGCAAGTGACAATACACGAGGTGACAAAGCGACAGAACACAGTCATGAACGTATTCTGAGTTTGTTTCAGGCTGTGGGGATTGTTTTTTTTTTTGGGCACTGTCATGGTCCTGGTGGGATGTTTGGCAAGTGTCAACATGGGGTGAAAATCGACACAAGCCGCAGAACACAGTGGCATCCACTGGCACAGCGATACCGAAACCACGGTAAGGACTTATTAAGACTGATATGATATTGGAAACAGGGTTAGGATACCAACCATAAGGTTAGAAGACATCACTGTAAAGCACAAGTTGAAAAGCAATGACACTACATGATATGATACTGCCTGGATTTTGGGGCCAAACTCAGCCCCACATCCGTCTACACCGGGCCTTGGCACTTCCAGCTGCGTATCGCAAGGCAAGACGCCGTACGAATACGCCAAGCAGAATGGCCGCCGGAAGGTGATGGGTGTGCTGGACCCGGTCCCTTGGCGCTGGGATGAGCATCCCTTGGTGGACCAGGGCTTCGGCACACGTGGGCTATAGGAACCTATGAAGAAACGACGGTGGTTCTTATTGGGTCGTTGCAATCCTGATGTTGTGAAGGTGTCGTGCGTTCGAATTGACTCCGATGCGTTGCCATTCTTTTTGTGAGGTATTTGTGGCCCTTCTCAGTGGCCGGAGCTGCACATGTGCCTCGGCTGCTCCGCAATCAGCGGAAGCCTTGCGAAACACAAACAACTTTGATGTAGATACTACAGCAGATTACATCAGGCCCTGTAACATAATAATTGTAAACAAATGCAATGATGCATAATGTGAAATGATATCAGTAGATTTGAAGTGGCTCTACACTTCGTATACTTGACATGAATTGCAGGAGATGGGTTTGTTTTGAGCTGGCGAGAAAGACTGTGATCCGCAGCCATGTTGTAGAATTTCGTCCCAAACCTATCGCGGTATAAGATA